CCCCCTCCCAGCCATGGCTCTGGCTCGAAGGGCTGTGTCCCCTGGGCTGGTCATTTCTGGACTCGTCAGGGACATGACCGTATGCTCGTTTTCCAGCAGCATCCCCACCACGCTCCGTCATCCTGGACTGCCGCCACATCAGCAGCATCGATTACACGGTGGTGGCGGGGCTGGCAGAGCTGCTGCAGGAGCTGCGCAAGCACGGCCTCTCGCTGGCCTTCTGCAGCCTGCAGGTACGCGGGGTGCAGCCTCGGACGGCCCCGTCCCGGGGCCCGTTCTGCGCTGGCCGCCGGGGATGCTGCTGCCTCTCTTCTGGGGGCACCTTCATCTCAAAGAGGTGGAAGGCTGCAGCATCTGAGTCCAGCTGTGGGATGCAGGGCGGTGGGGAAGGGCTGCAGCCTCTGCCCTGGGCTGGCTGGGCGGCTCACAGCCCCGGGGCGATGGGAAGTGGCCAGCAGCGGGCTCCCCCAGCCCAAGTTTCTCTGCCCTCAGGACCCTGTTCTCCAAGTGCTGCTGTCCGCAGACTTAGAAGGGTTCCAGCATTTCCCCAGCCAGGAGGAGGCAGGTGAGGCTCTGGGCTGCCCTGGGTGCTTTCCTGGGGCTGGGGTCCCCAGGCTGCTGCTGAGGGGGGCTCTGGAAGATGAGCCCGGTAGTCTGACCTTCGTCAGGCCCCAACGCTGCAGGGCGGGGGTTTGACTCGAGGGAAGGTGAGCAGGAGCCCCTCTGGGGAGTGGGGTCACCCTGGCCTCGGGGGTTCGTGGTGAGGCTCGGCTTAACTCTCTGTCCTGCTTCTCCCCTTTCCTGGCTCAGAGCGGTGCAGAGGAGCGGAGCCGGGGGGCGGCAGGGCAGCCCCCTTCACCAGCACCAGCCTGAGCTCGCTGCTGCCCGCGGGGCTCATCCAGTGAGTCGAGGAGCCACCGGGACCTCCCCAGGGCCAGCATCACCTTGCCGCCTCCTCCCCTCCGATTACACCGGGGCTGTACGACCCGTGCTGCACAGAGCGGTGGCTGTGACACCCCGGTGACATCTGACCAACACCCCCCACGGGAGCCGCCTGCCCCTGTCGTGCCTCCTGGGCGGCTGGTGGGGCGCCTGCCGGGGCTGGGACCGTCCCCATGTCCCACGCGGGGGAGGGCAGAACAAGGCCAAGGACAGATGGTCCGTGGAAGGGATGAGCAGGGCAAAGCCATTCCCTATCACGGTCGTCAGGAAAACAGCATCCCTCCTCCAGGCCTTCCCCCATCCTCGAAGCTGCCGTCTTTTTTTAAATCAGCTTTTTTAATTCGGGAGACTTTTCTTATCCTGGGACACTGATGTGGAATGTGCTCTTGTCAAAGGGAGTTCCAAAGTTGTTGGCGCTGCCCTCCAAGCCTAAGGGAATGCTGCAGCTCCCAGCCTCAGGGTGCTGGCAGATGAAAAGCGTCAGTGCTTTTACTCCTTACTGATCCCTCTTGGTCTGTGGGGTTTTCTGCCAAATGCTGCCATCGGGCAGGGGTGGGCTGTCCCGCCGCGGGCGCAGCCCCTTGCCCGACTCCTGCCAGGCACCCGAGGGGACAGGCACCGTGACACCAGCATGTGCGTGCCTTGCTGTGAAATGGGTGCAAGAGGCAATAGTGCTGTCAGGCAGCGGGGCTGGGGGGGCAAGGTGCAGGGGAAAGCAGTTTTCCCGAACTGCCCTTGGCTGACACTCCCGTAAGGAGCGTATAATAAAGCAGTAATTGCAAATGAGTCAGCGTGATCTGTCTTCCTTTGGGGAAAGCTTTTGCCTTTGGTGTGGGAAGGAAGAATTAAGTTCTAATTTCTGGGTGCTGCTTGAGCAAACCAAGGAATAGAAACCGAAACCAAGCTCAGGCTGCCTGGCTGCTCAGTGCCTGAAGGTGGCTCTGGCACAGCTCCTCCTGCCAAAGGAGGCAGGGGTGGCAGAGGTGGCCGGGAGCCACAAAACTTTGAGGGCTGACAGGTCCTGCCGCCGGAGCCTGGAGGAGCATTTCTGCAGCGGAGCAGCACTGGGCAGCGAGTTCCTGGCTGCACTGGCAGCAGGGAGGCGTTTGCAGAACTGGGAGGGCACGCGTGCCCTCTCTGCCCATCCATCCGTCTCCCCAGACAAGGAGTGACCATCGCGGAGACGGGGCAGGTTCTGACCTGTTCCTCCTCACGCTGTGTGGCGCTGGCTGCAGCCCCGCGCTGCGTCAGGTTGTGCTGTGCAAGCTGCTCCGTGCGCCCAGAGAGGGGCTCAGCGTGACAGCGGGGGGTGAGGGGGGGATCAGGCAACCCCCTGCCCCAAAACGCTGGGGGGAGCAGGAGTGGGAAAAGAGGGGGTAAAGGGGTAAAAAGGGCCGGTGCGAGAGAACCCCCGTGTGCGAGTGAGAGTGTGAGCACTAGTGCGTACCAGGCCAGCTTGGTCCCAGTTGGATCCGGGGACGGGGTGACAGCCGTGTCCCCGCTTTTGGCTGGTGGATCCAGCACGATGCATTTTCCTCCACCACGTTTGCCCTCCCCACCGCTGCCAGCAGGCCCTGTCCTGCATCCCTGCCCTGTCCTGCGTCCCTGCGCTGCCGGGGGAGCACCTGCATTGAACAGAAGGGTGAAACAGCCCACGGCCGCCCGCAGCGCTGACACAGCCCCGCTACCGCCGCCCGAGGAGGCTGCTTACGGCCATTTGCTGCCTGTGTTACCGCAGCAGCTCAGAGACCAGAGGGCAACAAGAAACGACGGAGAGCGGCCACGATTCCCTCCCGGCGGGGGGGGGGGGGGTCGGTCGCCA